GCATCTACAGTTGTGCCACATAAGGAGGTGACATTTGAAACCCTACGTAGGATTCTTAATAAAGCAGGAATTATAGTGGCATTTAAACCTACAAACTCACTCAGGTAGACAAGATCTGTATGCTAAAGGACCCGTTTGACCCAATTAAACAAAATAATTTTATTTACAAAGTACCTTGCAATGACTGTGAGTTAAGTCAACTAGATAGATCAAACCAATAGATCGGGTGTAGTCAGATTGTCGGAACAGAAGAATTTAGCTAAGTGTGGAGTGATTGACCCGGCGAAGGTAGGTAATTTAGAAAATAACTCAGTAATTGCACTGCACACGCACAGAGATTACAGAGTCAAAATTCTAAAAAGTAATCTAGGTTGGTGGAGAGAGAGATTGATTACTGAATCTTTGTTCATAGAATCTACACCCAACACATGCAATAGGAGTGATTGATCACTTATACTAGAGATATGGAGAATGTTACTACCAATCATATCAAGCGGTGAAAAATAGTTAAGTTATATAAACAAAGTCATAACCTTGTGTTTGTAACATGAAATGATTTTGAACAGGAATAAACTGTGCTCAAAACGTCGTTATTAGTAAATATTGCTGTACAAAAAGCACTGTCAAAATAAATTTTCTCTATAATGAAATTATACTCTACCACAGTGCCTAAGTTCTACTGTAATCACCATCTTCAGAGTCTATTGTCCTTCTTCATCCATCTATTTGGTTTAATCATTTCCACATTATCGTATTTGCTCTACTGGTCATTTCGTTATTTTTCAACATTATGCTGTAATTTGGGCAGGTATTTAACAATTAACAATCCTGTCGACTGTTGTTTCATCGTATAACACTTTATAACTTTCCTTACTTTTTTTTTAATTACAGCTTGATGCCACACCGTATTTTCAGTACAAGTATGGAATTTTCAGCATGGATATCGGTAGCCCAAATTTTGCAGGCCGACAATAGATATCGGGTGTGCGTCGGCAGGGGATCGAACCCCGGGCCGTGTGGATGGTCAGCGAGAGTCCTAACCACTGTGCCACTGTCTCCAAGCTGAGTATTTTTTGAAAAGTGCTTTGACTACAGTCTGTGAAGATCTCTGATTTAAAAGATCCTACCTACTTCACTTGACAGAGTATTCAATTAGTGCATTAAATTTGAGTCTGACTGCTGTGCTTAGAAAAACCCAAATACAAAGACTAAGCGAGACGTACATTTATAAAATGTGATAAATTGAAACTCCATTTGATCAGAAGCAAATTTGTTAGGTAATCAGTTGTCGGAGTATGAGAAAATATCAAATTAAAAGTCAATGGAATTTAAATAGTTAACGTAAATCACATCCTTTGACTAGCTTATCCAACTGCAAGCCTGAATAATATATGTCGGATTCAAGCTAGTCTTACTAGCTTGTTTAGTTTAGTTCTTTTTTCTGCGGGCTAATATAACGCTTAATTTAGGCTATTGAACTAGACGAAATTTAGCAGTAAGTCGAAACCCGGATCACCAACCTAGTTGGTAAACATTTGACAATATTCTACCTCTGAAAGATTATGCATTTTCTTTGTTCACTATGTTCACTTGATAAAATGAAAGCAATGCTCTAGTTTCAGACGAACCAATAAACCTGCCAGTAAACACTTTGATGTCTTTTTGATTAATGCAATATTTTCAATACACTGAAGAGTAACAGATCGACAGCTTAATTAATAATAATATCATCATCAATAGATAAATAATTCTTTATTTGTGTATTTCTGAAATATCAGGTCATTATTACAATGAAAGCCACTTTATGTGAACTGTATTTTGTTTGTTTTATTGTCTTTAACAAGTGAGCACCGCATTCAAATATTCACGCAACCACAACAGTAAGTACAAAAGTAATGATAGTAAATTATATATTTTCTAAAAATGAATAAAGTATCTTACAGATATTCTCACTGAGATCAAGTAAAACATAAAAGCAATCAAATGAAAATTTCATAATAAATTAAAAACACTAAAAGAAATTTCAATGATCAACATTTATCAAATATATCACTGGTATTAAAAGTTATATTTTCTCAGGATTTTTGCAATTTTAATATCTATTTAACTAAATAAATAAATAAATAACTTACTCAAACCACCGATCACTTTGACACTTATAGAAGTTACGTAGACCACACTTTTGTTATATGCGATAAGAACATAATTCTTGATGATGTCTTCGTTGCATTCAACAACTGCCATCCCAATTCGCAATTCACCATAGAAAAGGAATCTGAACAAAACATTTCCTTTCTCGATGTGTGCCTCAGTAGATGTAATCACAGATCTTTCAAAAGATCCATCCATCGGAAACGTACATGGAATGGATGAGTAACAAAGGTATATAGTTGGGCACCTTTCTCCAGAATAAAGAACATAATTAACTCGCTTTGCTATAGGATAAGAAACATTTCTAGTTCTGACTACGCTGACTTAGAACTTGTCTTCCTAAACGCAGCGCTCGCAGAAAACGGTTACACGAACCGATTCATTGACAGAATCACGAATGATGATCAGTCCAAATGGGTCGCTGACTCGATTCCGAAGAAAACCCTATTTATGAACTTGCTATGCAAAAGTGATCAAGCTTTTTAGATATGCTCAGAAATCGTCTGTCCAAAGAATTCAGTAAGATGTTCTTAGCAGCATAATTACAAATGACGTTTACCAGCCGCAAGTTTCTCTCCATCTCAGTAAAAGATATGCTACCCCATCTGGCCACCTCCATGTGCATCTATCAGTTCACCTGCTCTTGTGAAGCAAGGTACATTAACCTTAGCCAGAGGACGCTTTCCACAAGGATACAAGAACATATTGCAGTGTAGTTTTACAAGGGAGAAATGAAGTGTGTTCGAAGCTCTATTCTAGAATACCTGATCGACTCCTGTCGCTCTACAACAACCCTAACCATGATTTTAAGATCATCCGTGGAATTCATGCTAACCTGCCGCGTTTTCTTCGTTATAGACTTCTAAAGACAGCGGAGGCCTTGGGAATTCGTGACTTTAAGCCAGACCTTTGTGTAAAAGATAAGTATCTACAATGTCTCCTTCTGCCTTGGCCATAGAATGATAGGCATTTATTTATTTTGTTTATTTAGTTAATCTATGTACCTCTGTCTGATTACTGCGATTATTATTATTATTATTGCTATTCGCACTTTGAATTGTCTCCGCTTGTCCCACTTGTCAATCTAAACACAAAAGTTTTACAGTATTGAATTCTATCTTATCAAATTTCATACGATGTTACGTAATGTTTTATATTAGCCTACTAATCCTATAATTAGGCAACCCCTTCCAACGTCTACACATCCTATGAATTATTCTGTATATAAAATTAATTTTTTTGCCACTTAACAGTTAACTATGATAATAATCACACACAAAAATTCATCCTGCTCTTATTATTTCATGTATTCACACTTTCGATCTAATTCACTCAATAGATATAATTTTCTAAAAATATATATATATACGATTGTACATCTTGATAAAAAAATCAATCGAAGCAGTTACTTCGCTGAACTAACTAACTAACTAACTAACTAACTAACTAACTAACTAACTAACTAACTAACTAACTAATTACCTAACTGACTAACTTACATTTTAATAGATTTTGTCCGAATAGCTTTAAACGTGGTCTAGCCAAGACTCTGTACTATAGAGCGAGGAGTATATGATCGATAGAGAAATTAGAGAAAGAATTTGAGTTTCTGGAAAAGAAATTGAAGAGCAATGGGTACCTTCAAAAGTTCATCAACAAGTATGCAAGATTTGAAGTTACAAATGTAAAACAAATCACAGTAAGAAAAAAGCCAATCTACTTTCAGCTTGATTATAAAGGTGAAAACATTGCAGCGATGATCAACAGAAGGCTGAGCACATCAATAGCCATAGCCTATCCTGCAGCTAAGCTCGTTCCCGTCTATCGAACAACTTGCTTTTTGATGTAGTCAAAAATCGATAGTAATCCTTCTCATGTTAACTGCAACTGTATATAAAAATTCACATGTATCTGCGGGAGCAGTTACACTGGAAGAACAGAAACAAGGGTATATCTACGATTTTCTAAACATGTACCAAAGAGCTTACGTCTAAAGGGAACAAATGCCTTAAACAGTGCCATTGCGGTTATCAATCTTTCTTTGCCCTGATAACTGGATATTTTTCATCTCTCTTTCATCCGAATGTGAAATGCTGAAAAGTTTCCATTGTGTATGATTATGATTGTTCGGAATAGTGTTTAATATTGCATATATATGTGCATATATTATTAGTGTGTGATTTTTGTTTAAAATGAACTCTGTGCAAGTATGTTAAAATTGTTTTTGTAGATAGATTTAATAATGTCCTTGCCCTGTAAGCAGCTGACGAGAAGGCAACGAAATAAAAGATGGTACCACTGTATTCTGCTAAAACTGTAGTTCTTGCTTTGTTCGAATTCACTAACTGACTGTATATTTTCGGAAAACCAATACAGTAGACTTTGACAAAGAAAAATATTTACACATCGTACGTCTTTTCCTTTTTTTATCCTCAAATTTTAAATCGTATTTAATTTCGGCGTTTTCGTTACGTGAATAAACGTTAAACTAATTAGATGACTTCATAATAATAATAATATTAATTCATACCTATGAAAAATAGATAAATTAATCAACATTTCAAATTACTTACAAAAAAGAGTCATACACACTCATGCACACATACAGACACACAAACAGAAGAAGACAAGATGGCTTTCTTAACTGCTTGTCTTCTTCGCAGCTTACACAGAAGTCAATCATCTTTGTAGTACTCACATATTAGCGAACATGTATATTTTTGTATAAATACATCCAAAATATGTTACTAAAGTAAAGAAGAAGAAAATTTTTCTTTACTGATAATCAAAATTTACAATTTGTAATGATAAAATATTTAATATCCTTCTTTGTTTTATACAACTTATTCATGATTCAAATTTTACCGCGTAAGTTAATTAGAAACCATGTAATTTCGATAAGATTTTATTTCTGTTTTAATTGAGATTTAATAATAACCATCTTCATTGTCCATGGATTACGTCTTAAATTAATTGCTTATTTTTCGAGTGGAATCTACAGTTTCATCGTCAAATCTCCATTCCACTCCGTTGTCTGACATTATCTTCAACTAGCTTCACGACTGTCCATGGCCTTCTCCAAGTCATCCTAAGACTCGTACACATCCCATCGATTTCATTTTGACCATCACTTGGTGGCTGGTTGTGTCTCATATAACTTTAAGGGCTTCTCAACGTATGTCCAATCTATCTGCATTTCTTTTGGTTGAACAGTAGGTTGTTAGCAGGTTCGCTATGCACTCCCCCCTCTTGCAACCTCCATCTCATTTGATCTTCATTGTGAGGACATAAAAGGGATCTGTTAGTGAGCGTCTGAAGCAGACTGTTAGAAATGCGTTTCTTAAAGTTAAAACTCATACACTTAAGATAAAAACACAAATATGTATAGATTAGTTTCAAGATCACAATCATTCTGCGTTGCTTTTTTTCGCAGTTGTCACTTTTTGATTGATGGGTGTTTTATGTTTAAGTTTCTAGATGCCTTAATAACAATTCTGAGTAGTTTCCAAATGATCCTGTGCGTTGGTGGCACAGTGGTTAGGACTCTCGCCGACCATGCACATGGTCCGGGGTTCGATCCTCTGCCGGCGCACACCTGATATCTTTGGTCGGCCTGTAAATTTGGGCTACCGATATCCATGCTGAAAATTCCATACTTGTACTGAAAATACGGTGTGGAATCAAGCTGTAATCAAAATAAAAATAAAAAAATAATAAATAAAATATTAGCAAATACTTATTTTTTATTTTTTATTACAGCTTGATTCCACGCCGTACTTTTTAGTACAGGTATGGAATTTTCAGCATGTGATATCGGTAGCCCAAATTTTGCAGGCTGACCATAGATATCAAGTGTGCATCGGCAGGGAGTCGAACCCCCGGACCATGTGCATGGTCAGCGAGATTCATAACCGCTGTGCCACCGACGCACATGTTTACTATTTATGATATTAAAAGGATCACATATTGTGATCTGGTAACCGAGCATATGCCAGAATTTCATTGGTTTGACATGATCCATTTCTCTGGGGTGATGATCTGGGTCTAAAACAAGTGAGACGGCCTTCTGATCATCAGCGAACTACTGTGTTGACGCAAGTGGTTTCTGATTTCCCTTATTAGTGGGTAGTATTAACAATACCTCTATACCGATAAATTTTATACGTTTTATGTAGTCACGTTAATTATTATTAACGTTTCAGTAACTCATATTCATTTTTCGTTCTCCACGCCCCTTCCGCCACCTTCCCCACTTACTTGGTCATTTTTCAATATCTTGCTTGATATAGCCATCAAAGGAACATGGATCCCCATGGAATTCAAGATTAATATCACTGATAATAAAATGTTGCTTTTACCAAAACATTCATCAACAAAATTTAACATTAGAACTAAATTAATTCGTACAGATTCTGGATATTCATTTCGTTCAGAGAAATTAACTGATACCTTTGAAATTCCCCTGAGTACTTGTGCACAAACAATAACCTATAAAGTGTTTGGACTTCAAAAACAAACTCAGCCAACGAATTTTATGATAAAACGTGAGTTGAATTTTCGTGAAATACATAAAAAACATTTTTTACATAGATTAACTCTTTAATGTGGGGGGGGGATTAATAGTAAGACTCCGGAGGTGTGTTTCAGCCAATTCAGGAGTTATCAGCTGGACGTACCTGTCGCCCCCCACCTAATGAGTAATGGTATGATGCGGAGCACTGTGAATTCTACTGCTAGCTGGAGTTAAGCAAGTTACTTCCTGTAATTAATCCTGACAACACTGAGGCGTCACTTCAAAGAGACATTATGCCTAAATGAAGCCGACAATTATAGTCTAGACATCCGCCAAATATGAATAAATCTTTGTTACACAGGTTGAAAATTCTGGGACGTTTAGTAGACATAAATAATCTATATGGCTAAATATCGGCTTTGTTTGCAATAAAACCAAAAATGTAAAGGTATTTTGAGAAATGAATGGTCGTATGTCCAAAATGATGACCTCTGCACAAGGAGTGCGACTACCAAATGGACATGGAGAAGGCGAAAACCCCGTATCGGCTAAAAATTTATATACCCACTGAGTCATGAAGGAAATAAAAGACGACTAAGCGAAGAAAATTTTCTTTATTGATGAAGTCGTCCTTATACGTTGCAAAGTCATATTTATATTTATTAAAACCTGTCACAGTCAATTACTGAGTAGTAGGGAGTGCATGTGTGGAATAATTTATATCGTTACACAGAAGTGGTCTCTAAAGTCAGACAGAAATTGCATAAGAGCAAGTGACACAATGGAAGTAAGCGTTTGAAGTTTGACAAGGTTAAAATTGTTATTTAATTAGAAGCGCAAGGTGGTTGACTGTTCACATATATTATTATTATTGTTCCCTTGGGTTCCTAGTGGAACATAGGGCTTCAACTGCACGTCTCCACTTGCTGCTTCTGTCCTCTGCCGTACTTTTCACTTGCATCCATGTTAGTCCATACTGTTTCAACTCCTCTTCACACGATCTCCTCCATGTCACCCTTGGACGTCACACTCGCCGCTTCCCTTTCGGGTTCCACTCGAGGGCCTGACGCGCGATGTCACCCAATGGCCTCCTCAGCGAGTGTCCAATCCATCTCCACTTTCTCCTGCATATTTGTTGGGCGATTGGTTCCTGTTTTGTTTGTTCCCATAGCTTCTTGTTTGTGATTCTTTCCGGCCATCTGATCTTCAGTATAGAACGAATACAGTTGTTGATAAAGGTCTGCAACCTGTTCACATAGCAATCTTGAAAGTGAGGAAGAAAAGAGTGCTAACAAAATGCACCTAAAGGATAGGCAGGAGTCCTAATAGTGAATAACTTACTTAAAATACAGACGAACAAGCAGGAAAACGTTTAGGACCATAGTAGAAAAAGAGACTGAACACAGATCGTTCCGAAAGGAGTATAGGGCTTCAGCGACACATTACCACTTTGTTCTATTTTCTGATTTCCTCTTCAGCTGGGTCAACGATTGACCATAATCTCTCATCTCCTCCTCGCAGGATCTCCTCCATGTCACCGCCGGACTCATGCTCCACTCGTCGTTCCCCACTCTGGTTCTACAGCCTGATATATTAATCAGGAATTATATAGGAACTTAAAAGGATAGAAATAACACGAATAATAAGGATACCATGAATAAGAAACATACACAGAAAAATAATAACACCGTGAATAAAGAAGTTAAAACATCACTCAGATCTTAAGTAGACTTCTCTAAAAGGTAGTAATAAAGGTGGTATTTGAACCTATAAAGTCACTTGAAAACAAATTATGCCAGCTAAAGGACCCTGTGGGACGCATTAAATGAGATAATTTAGCTTATCTAATACACCGCCTGCACTGATTATGAGGTCAAATACATACACCAGAGTAGTAGGCCAGGGCGGACCAGTTTAGGAGTAGATCAAAAAACCCTAGAAAGAAGGCAAAGCAATAAGTCCGACAGGGTGCTTCTACTAAACGCTAATCCTAAACACCATAATTTTGAAAATACGTCTAATCATAAAATTCTAGATACTAACAGTTTGAACAGACATGAAGGCGTGATGTTAGCTGATGCATAGGAAATCCTGATTAATAAATAAAAAATGGATATGTATCACTAATTATTAATACTTGGTCAAAATTCTCGACTGTCCATATCTTCTTATGGAAACGTTATGAAATTTTTTACAACTGTTTACCCACACACACATACGCACCCTGTCTAAAGTGTTTAACAAAGGTAGACCAATATTTGTAAGTCCGGGGTCAAATTTTGTTCACAGCTCATAAAATTTTGTTTATTATACTTGTTGATACTTGTTGAATGACTCATGATTGGACAAATTTTCAAAAACAAGTGATGTTCCTTTTTATATATAAACCTATGTTATGTTAATTTCGATTAATTTCCCTGAAGAAGTTCGGACCAGATTGCCGAACGAAACGTTGGAATTAATCATTTCAATCTCGCTGAGACTTTACAAATATACTTTTTTACAAAAAATCTAGATTAGTTGACTCTAATAAGATTGGAATTCTGGAAAAATAACTCAGCTATAGCACTATATACAGTTATATATAACCATTCAACTGAATGGGACATCCAAGGTAACATGATGGAAACAGAGACTGGTCACTGACGATCGTTACATCGCTTATCTACTGAAGTCATATTTATCGAATCAACTGAGAGAATACATGTCATAGGAATGAACCAACACCTTCTCCAGACATCTGGAAAATTCTACTACGCTTTGAACAAATGGGGAAAAGGAATGAAAACTGTAAAAAGTCGAGTTTCCAAGTGGGTTACTTACAACTAATGATATTGTAACAATGAAAGACAAGGATCAGGCAACAGATCATCTATATGTTGACTGTATCCGCCTACGCAAAGGCTGCTGTGGTCGGTTTTCAATCAGTCTTTGTTCATATTTTCTCACGACAAATCTTGAGAACGTAAACATGGACGTAAATTACTGTCTACCAATTTGGCTAGTAGACAGCTCTCACCACAATATGACTATGCAGTATCCAACATGTGTTTTGAATACCACATATACCACACTTATAAGTGTAATTCAGCATACAATCTAATTTGTTTGTTGTTCGTTTTTCTTCCAATACATTTTCAGCTGAATACCTTCCTGAAGTTCAAAATTTACGTATTACAATACCAGATGACACTAATGCTCGAACAGTTCATTTGAATTGGACATTGAATACAGCCAATAACAAACTAGTATGCCCTTTTAAAACATATGCTTTTGTTGAATCAGAAAATAAACGATTAGAATATGAAACATTACATAATCATTTCGATATCAGTTGTCTTGAATCAAGTAAATTGTTTAAAATTGGTGTCATAGTTAAATCAGCTCAGAATACAACAGTTAGTCGAATGGTTCAATTAGATTATTCAACATGTGAGTTATATTAAGCATTCTTTTTAAACTTCTATGAACATTGAATAGTGTTCTTCTGAATAAATTCTGATGGGTGTGAATGATATCAAATCAACTTATCTAATGTGGTGTTTCATTACATTCTTTATCATTAATTGATGGATGGTGACTAGCAGTGGAATTCAGGATGCTCGTTTCGTCCTATTTGAGACTCGTCAGATGGGCGTACCTGCATTTCTCAGTGAGTGATGATGTTACCACCGAGGTTGGAACCCAGCGCCCATAGTTTCAAACGCCAAAGCGTTATCCACTAGACCACTTGGGCCACGAGAGCCACCTCTTGTGCAACGGGTCATATTAATTATTTAATTGAATTTAAGATTTTCCGGTCGATTGATTTGACCGAAGTGCTCGGTTTCAGGTTGACATGTCGGCTTCCTGTGCAGATGCTTAGACGATGTCTGTGCATGTAATTAGAAGTTAATTGGTGGATGGTGACTAGCAGTGGAATCCAGGATGCGCATGCCCAGACATCGTCGAAGCATCTGCACAAGAAGCCGACATGTCAACCTGAGACCGAGCACTTCGGTCCAATCAATCGACGGGGAAATCTAAAATTCAATTAAATTCTTTATCATTCCTTGCATTCTGACTGAAACACAAGGCTGCAACCTTTTGATGTGTCAAAAGCGAGGGTTTCGTTTTCAAGGAGTACGGTGGCTAGTCTTACACTCGATGTTTCCTTCATTTCTCTGAGCTTATCGTCGGCTAGTCAGTCCACTAGGCGAGATGACACATTCGTAATAATCAAAGGAAACGAGTTGGACAAAACTCACCACTTAATAATCAGCGTTTTCAACAACATCAAAATCACAAGAGAAGGGGAATCCGAGAACAAAATCCCATTTTTGAACGTCTTAGTCAAACGAACAACCACAGGAGAATTAGAAACTCAAGTTTATAGAAATCAACGCACAGAGATCAAATACTCAGTTACAACAGCAACAGTCCCATAACACACAAAAGGAGTTGTATACAAACACTACTCAAGGACTCATTCCAGCACTCCCACCTTAAGCAAAATTGAAGAAAGATATCTCATGGACGTCTTCCAAAAGAATGGATATCCACGGAATTTCATCAAAAGACATCTACGCTCAAGCCAACCCACCAAATCAAAGGCCCCTCCCCCCGAGAAAAACACAAAGAGATTCGTCTGACCATACATAAAAGATATCTCAGAAATCACCGCATGACTCTTCAAACCTTTAGGAATTGATGTCGCACAAAAACCAACAAAATCACTTTAAATCAACCCTTTGTCAACCAAAACACTCACCAGCAAAAGAAGATAAAACCAACATCATCTACGAAATAAATTGCAACGACTGCGAAAAACATTACATTGGCCAAAGTGCAAGTCCCCTTCATCTTCGTATCCATGATCATAAGCTAACCGTCAAAAGACATGCCATCCACTCCCTTATATCTCTGCATACAGACAAGCACGGACGTCAACTGGACTGGGACAACCAATGTTCAAATATTAGACAGAGGAAACACCAAGAATGTCAGAGAATTTTTAGAAACCTGTTTGGTATTCCAATGAATCGTCAGTCAATAGACACATCTACATAGGCAAAATTTACCAATTGATAAGAAGGAAATGTCACACACAAAGGGTCAAAGTCCAAGTCAAAGAAACAATCTGTTCCAATACAATTAGCCTAGTGGGTGTGAAAACACAAGAAAACGACCAATCACGTTCAAAGTCACCAGGGGAGATGACTAATAAACTAACAAAAGCTAACTTCAAATTGAAGTATGCGCTGAAGATGTTGCCTAGTAGGGCAATGAAAGCTTCGCAAATAAATTATCCAGCTCAGAAAACACAACTGCATCAAAATAGGCAAGATTTAGAAGTATGGCAGACGGGAGTCGAACCTTCACTTTTGAGATGACCTGAGAGGATTCCTCACTTGAACCACTGCCGATGCACTGTAACGGAAAAAATTGTTTGGTTTGGAAAATCCTTCCTAAAAGATCTAATCACAGTATTTGATACTTATTTGGATGTTTCAACTAATTTTTTAATGATTACCTGTTTTCCCTCTAGACTGTAAATCATTTTTCTGACACTTGTATATTACATGCTGATTTTATCCACATTATTTGTCTTCGTGGTTGTGTGATACACTGGTAATGTATTGTCTTACGATGTCGCTTTGTTCGAATGAGTCAGAGTTACCTCTAACCGTTGAATGTCAGTGTGAAGCGTTGATGTGTAGTTCTTGTCGACAGATTTTTATCAAACCATGTTGGGAATATTCTATTTGCTAATTTTGTTTAACACTTCTTGTTTTGTACTTGGAAACCTGCATTACCTCTACAGCTGCCTAACTGCACTGTTGAGAGAGTAATTATCATGTAATTTAATCCCATCTGTTAGATTTCATTCCAAATCAACATCAGCCATAGAGGTCGTTGAAAACTATGGGGCACCTGACAGTTGTTTCGTCATATTTTGGGGCTGTTCAGCAGTACGCACTCACGAGCTTACCAGGGATTGAACCTGTGAATTTCCACTCATGAGATCATAATCCAAATATCAGTCTCTAGTTCACTGGTGGTTACTGGATGAATTCTCCTGAAGTTGTACTGATAAGCTGTGACCAGTAGAGTCCACATTGTGGAGTTGAATTGTTTGTTTATCGAAGGTGTTGTTAAATGTAGCGTTGTATCACTGGTAGAAAAAGTCTGAATTCACGGATCATTGAATTCCTGGTCAAATTATCTGAATGACCAACGAGATTGGTTTTCTAACCTGAAGGTCCCTGGAGTGGTCATGGGTTCCACACGGATGAAAGGTCCCTAAGAATAGAACGAAACGACTATCCAGTGATCCCTAGTTTCCAGTAATATCTCTAAATTAAATTCATCCAAATGCGTACAAATCGGATAAACCAAACAGCAAAATTTAACATCACCTCTAAACATGACGGCTTATTCAGGAGTTTAGTACTTTAACGCTGTCTATTTCAACTCCGATGGATGACTGATTAGGGTGACACAGCTGCAATGGTTACCGAAGGGTCAAAATGTATTCCAATAATCCTTTGCAACAAGAAGTCCTTTCAGGTATGAATATCTTTATTTGTATAGTTGGAAACTGAGTAGAAATACTAGAATGCTAGATAGTAAAAAAAGGATAGCTAGTATTCACATTCTTATTATTGATTCTTCGGGTTATGAGTGCAACACTGGTTGGTTGGCGACACCTCTAGTTGGCTCCATGACTTCCCGCGCAAGCTTTTACTTCGTGTTTACGTAATCTCAATGTTACCCTTCAACGTCAAACTGGATGCTTTCCTTTTGGGATTCCACTCGAGTGTGGGGTTAGTAAATTCTAATACCTAACGATATCTGCATACTGAAATGAAAATGATCGATTAACGAATAAAGTAAAATATCGCACGCCTTCATAATTAGATATCGAGGCAATAGTAAGTTCATTGCTCACATGTACCTAATATGGAAGAGATGAAGGTAATCACTTGTGTGAAAATTGAAGGGTCTTTTTCCTCTAATCTGAATATTGCTCACCATATTGTCTTTAGGCATGGATTTCTAAGTAGGGAAGGGAAGTCAATCGATCAGGTAGCGGAGTTACATTGGTTGAAACGGTCACTGATGTGTGTTACCCATGCTAACCGACTGACTTCCTCGTTGAGCAATGTTAACTGATATCGAGTTGGGTTGGAAAAGGGTTAGGGGTGTCAAACCAAAACTTGGCATTTAACCATGAAATCTCTGCCGGTTCGTTTGAGCCACATGGTCAGGGTCTTCAGGATTCTATGAATCAATATCTGGAAACTGTTGGTGATATGGCTCAAAACTATTCTCTGTGATGGTGCAGATACATCCACTCTTTGCATTGTCCAAGACCCATTAAATCTTCACGTTTTCCCTTGTTACTATTTTTCTTCTTGTACACTTCTGCTCATTGCAGTTCTTCTGAATTTCTTCTTTCTCACTTTTCGCTAACTTTATGTGCTACATGGTGTGTAGAAACTTGAACTGCTCAAATCTCATGAAAAGTTGTAGTCTGCAACTCAGCCAGCCAATCTGAACTTGTCCCTGTAACTTCTTTTGACGTCTTCTTCTGATGTGAGTTTCCGCATAACTAATTCGCTTGATAAATTTGAATAGGATGAGAAATAAAAAAATATTTGAGCACTGTGTTATTGATCTTGACGACTGATCACATTTTTAATCGATGATATTTGGAATATAAAATTATGTCTAGTAGGCTTGTTAGTCTAGCCTTGGATGACAATGTTAAGGTTGTAGAAAGTTGCTTTTCCGTTTGGAACAACATATTCTTGTTACAGATTTTTTTGAGGCTCTAAATGAAGCCAGTAATATGCCGTCACTTGGTAGGTATGCGCTTTTAGTTACCGACATAAGTGTGATATTTCTACACGACATGTTTTGCAGTCAATGTACTTCATCGGTTACGAATTCTAATTAGAACCTAAGAAATTCTGTCGGGAAGTTAGTCACTAACAATATCAGATATGAAGACAGACGCTGGGAAATATCATCAGATGGCAGCTGAATTGTATCCCAAATTCACAAGCTAGTTTTTGATAACGACAGTTTCTTGACACCTTCAGCATAAACTTCAGTATGAACTGGACTTATTTGAACTCCTTCTCTATGAATGATATAAGTGTATCTCTTGATTGCCATTTCTGTGATTGGTTGTTAATTTTCACGGTAACTCTAAAGAATAGCAGCCCAAACCGAAACGACCTTGAGCAACCAATCAGGTGACTCTGCTTTTTCCAGAGGTAATTATGCATGCTCTACACCTTTTGCGTTGCAAATTCGCTCCGGATCTTGTTTTTGATTACTGTTTGGATAACGGACTGATTGCAAGGTCGAAAATTTGTCAATGGGGAGGTGATATGCGTAACAAAAATACACAAACTGCACTGATTGGTTTGTGTACAGGTGTAATGAGTGCCGGAGG